TACGAACAATATACGACTATCATACAACCATTATACGACCATCTTATAATCATCATACGACCAACAAACGACCATCATGTAATCATCATACGACCATCATCCGACCATCATACGACGATTATACGACCATCATACGACAATTATACAACTGTCATATGATCATTATACGACCATCATATAGTCACTATACGGCCATCACACAACCTTCTTACAACCGTCATACGACCATCATATAATCGCTTTACGACCATCTTAAAATCATTATACGACCATCATACGAACAATATACGACCATCATACGACAATTATACAACCATCATACGACCATCACACGACAATTATACGACCATCATATAGTCACTATACGGCCATCATACAACCAATATACAACCGTCATACGACCATCCTATAATCACTATACGACCATCTTAAAATCATTATACGACCATCATACGACCATCATATAGTCACCATACGGCCATCACACAGCCGTCATACGACCATCATATAATCACTATACGACCATCTTATAATCATTATACGACCATCATACGACAATTATACAACCATCATACGACCATCACACGACAATTATACGACCATCAAACGAGAATCATGCGACCATCCGTGTAGTAGACAGACAGATACAATCACGCACTACGCGTAGTAATCAGATATATACACTCACACACCACGTGTAGTATTTATATAGGTACTACGTGTTGTATTCCTATAGGTACCTTCTGCGTGTCTTTGCTGGGCACAGAATGCGCTGTAGTCGTCCCCTTAGTGGCCGACATTGATTCAAACTTGACGCCATTTGCGATCAACAACTGCGACAGCCTGCACGGGTGTGTGAATAACATGTACATGGATATTACAAGTGAGCATATAGCCATGCAGCAACATGTGACAGTTTGTGTGAGTGTGTTAATATCATGTACATGGATATCACAGGTGAGCATATAGCCATGCAGCTATATGATATAGCCTAAGCCTTTTGGGTGGGTGATACGGATAGGTCCTTCAGGTTAACACTATCTCGTACAACTGTTTCAGTCTACTAAATCGGATGAGCATAACGTTATTTATGTGCTTTCAACTGGAACAGGCTGTATGTGTGAGTGATGTGGATTGGGTGGGATTGCAACGTGAACACAGCCTTCTGCAGCAACAAGAGGGATAGCAGACAAGCATGCTATATAGCGCACAGGATTAGCAGTTGAATGTGATCCCATGTAACAACACCCGAGGCAGCCGACAACGATGGTATACTGTTCATTCGGACTACGGGCTAAGCACCCCAACCCTCTTAAACCCTGAAAAAGGCTAACTTAACTTGGGTTAATAAAAGCCTGAAAAACGCTAACTTAGTGTTGACGAACCACTAAATTAAAAAAAGGCTAAATCAAGGTTTATAAGTCTCTAAAACAGGCTAACTTAACCCCATAGCGCAACAGCAGCCACAGCCCACACGTGCGCGATACGACAAGTGTCACACCGTAATAGTGACAATGGTAAACGTATTGAGCAGTGGAAAGTGCGTGAAGGTACATGAAACGTAGCAGAGTGAGAATAGAAAACGTATTGAGCATTCGGAAGGGATTAGAGGTAGGACGTAGTGAGAAGTCAAGAGGTGAGAGAAACACCAGTCCAACACGCGCGGCATGTTTCGTGCATAAGCTTAACTGCACGCATACCCGACACAGATGAGACTATAGCGAGGGTATATATATATATGTATATATATAAATATAATATATAAAAATATATATATATATATATATATATGTATATATATATACATATATACATATATATATAGCTCAAGTCATCCCCGTAATATAGTATCCAGAAAGTCTGTATATATCTATTATGTACAGTGTCCTCATCTGCAGTGTATAGACCACCCTCAACATTCCTCATGATAGTCTCCATCCTCATACACACATAAACCAAGTGCCCATACACCCATTCACCTGGTAAGCTCCGCATCCTTCTCGCTGTAGGAGTCCTGCAGTGCTTTCCGTTGCTGATGAAACAAGGAGATGTATGTGGGAATGGTTGCTGTCTCCTCGTTCAGTTGGTTTACCAATTGCGTTTCATGTTCCAACTTTCTCTCCAACTCCGATTTCTCCGCCTCAAGCGCTTCGATGCGGGTCTGCATTTGGGCGAGGATTTTAGGATTTTGGGTTTAGGGTTTGGATACGTTGCTATTGAATGCATGTGTTAGGGTTTTAGGGTTTTAGTTTGTGTGTGATGCGATGTACGGGCTAGGGTTTGAGAATAAAAACAATCGGGAGTGTGGCATAGAATCTAGGGACAAATACACGGTCTGAATAGCTACACACAATACCCCGAATCAAGTGCACATGTGGTCTCACCGTAAGTTCACGGAGCTTCTCTGCAGCCCCATTCGGCTCCTCTTTATTTGTCTCTACCTGTGCGTCGTTGAGTTCTTGGGTTTCCGGCGGAGCGTGCGCTGCTGGTGTGGTTTCCGCCGTGGGTTCTGTGACTGGTACTGAGGAGTGTGTAGTGCCATTGAGAGGCTATGGTGTTACATGCATGGCTATATACTTGATATGGGGCAGATAAGGGTGATACATGCATGGCTAGGGCAGAGATACTTCATATTCAGTATTTACTTCATATAGGGCAGAGAAGAGTAGCGCACCCTAACAGGTAAAGGACATGAGTGAGTGCATGGGCATTGTATAAGGGGTGCGAGTGTCATATTATACCCTGCTGTCAAATACATACAAACACACCCTTGACCTAATCAATCCGTCAGGTGTGTTATAAACCTTCGGTAGGTGTGCTTGGTTACAAGTTACAGTCCTTTTCCGCCAGGATACGTCCGTATGTGTATCAGCTGGCCCCTGCATAATCTCTCTCAAACATTACACATAGACATTGTGCTAAGAATCGCTGAAGTGTTCACCTACCAGACGCATCGCCAGAGATGTCGTTCGCACTATCAGTAGCGGTCACAGGCGCTTTGTCGTCGCCATCAGTCTTGACTTCACCAGCACCTTCGATCTGTCCGTCGGCCGTTTTGGGTGCGTTTGAGTCCATTTTCGCGACTTCAGGTGCACTTGCGGGTGCTTCTTGGTCCGGGGGGGGACTGGCAACCGTACTAGGATTGGGTGTTTCGGGTTGAGGCGCGGGCTTTTGGGCCAATTGCTGTTTAAGCGATTGTTTTTCTTTTTGTAGTGTCATGATCTGCGTTGCCAGAAGATTGTTGCTCCGTTTCAGTTTGTCGACGTAATTCGGGTCAATATACAAGACCTGCAGGTAGAGGGATCAGGACAGTTAGGACAGTTAGGACCGGTCAGATGTAATTTTGTTAAGATATATCTCATTCTGGTCGATGCACCAAAATTGCAAGTCATTAATTTACAGTCACGAATCGCTGGATAACAAACAATAGCAGGCTACACTAGAGGACAAATAGTATTGGCAAGTACTGACATTAGCGATAAAAAAACAACCGTACGAGATGCGCCAGATGCACTTGTCCCAAAGCACAAAACAGGGCCCATTCTGTCCCCAGGCAAGCACCCAACCCCATACGCAATACGCAAAGCTATAGCACATGAAACTCCCACAACGCACTCACACACACCTCCTCGCCGTTTATCTCGCGTTTGTATTCTTGCAGCTCATTGGTCAGCTGCGTGTTGGTGTACTTGAGCGACTCATTCTCGGTGGCCAGATCCATCTGGGTGGTTGTCATGGCAACGAATCTGTCCTGCAGCTCCTCCAACTGCTGGGTCAGGGTGCGCTTCTTTCCGTTGACCTTCGCCAGTGTCTGGGCATTCGCATTGATGGTCGCGACCAGATTGTTTTTTTCGGACACCTCCAGTTGTAATATAGACACCTAACCAATTAATAAACGAGATGAGATGAGATGAATGAATCCATAAACAAATTTAGATGAGAGATGAGATGCGTGTGGTTTGTGTGCGCTGCAAGCGAGCTACGTGCGATATATAAACTGTGCCCAGTGAGATTTCGCCCATTTGAATTGGAGGTGGGTACATCTCAGTACTCTTGGCTCGGTTGCATTTCGGGTACCCGTTATGATATGACTTGACAAAGGGTTGTGCGTCTCTGGGTGTTCTTATGTGTGTGGGGCTCAGTAAACATATGTGAAATTGGCAAGCGCGCAAAAGATTGTATATGCACCTTTGTGTTCTCGGGTACACACACACACACACACACACACACACACACACATGTATATATATATATATAATACATAGGTACATAGATATACAGAATATAGAATACAGAATACAGAATACAGAATATATATAAATATGTGTGTGTGCGCAAGTGTATGTATGTATGTACCAATATATACCAATATATACCACTATATATATATATATTGACCACACTTTATGACATAACGTACTCTGATACATATTCATATTGTGAAATTCCACACTTTTTTTTTTGCTACAAAGCAGTATATATAGACAAACCGTGCACACGGATATAGAGGGATATGCTCATATGTACATGGTCCTTCTTCACTGAATTGTTGTAAACAAATTTATTCTTCGCCTCAAACTGCGCATAAGACAGTCTATAACTGGACTGATGACTTGTACACACCTGTTTTTCAAGGGCAGCGACTGTTTGTTCGTGTTGTTGATCGTTGTTGCTAATCTCCATAGTGAGGTGCTTCATCACTGTCTTACACTTTGCATGCCTGTCAACCATTTCCAAACAAAACAAAAAACGGATAAGTGCCAGAAATACACGGGCTTTTATGACAGATTCCGTAGACGTGAAACGTATATTTGTCAGACCTTTCTACAGCTCGATACAACACAAGAATCTTAAATGGTGATATGCCTGCTAAATTATACACGCATATGCCAATTCAACCACATTAAATACTCTGTCTATGCTATTACTTGCACCACTTAATATACTTTGTCTGTGTTAGTATTTGCTCCACTTAAAATACTTTGTCTATGTTAGTATATGTACCACTTTATATACTGTGTCTATCTTAACGTACACCCATTTGCCAATTGAACCACTTTTGAGAAGCTATATTCTCAAGTTTCGGATCATATGCGAAGTACACTACGCCACGCAAACGGTTACAATGCAAAGAATAAGAACGATTGAGTAGTGCTCACTAACTATAAATACACTCACACGGCCACATACTTCAATAAAGTCTCGGGGGCACTCGCATATATATCTTGCCTGTGCGTTTGAGTCTTCTGACTCGCCATATCTGGTACTGCCTACACATATTATCGACACACACACACACACACGCACACTTCCTATCCACACACACACACACTTCCTATTCACACACACACACACACTTCCTATCCACACACACATACACACTTCCTATTTACACACACATGCACTTCCTATCCACACTCACTCACACACTTCCTATCCACACACACGCACACTTCCTATCCACACATTCACCCGCTTCCTATCTACACACACACACAAACTTCCTATCCACACACACACACACACACTTCCTATCTCACACACACACACACACACATACGCATCCTCTGAGTTGTCTGGTGCGCCCGTAAGCTCCTCGCTCATCAGTCGCTCGACATTGCCCAGTCTGCCGGTGGTCGTCTTCTCCGCTTTGACCTCAGACGTCAGGGCGTCCACTTGTTTGTTCAGCTCCGCAATCCTGAACTCGAGGTCCTCTCGAGTGTGGGCCATGGTCTCTTTCTCCCTCGACCAATCAGAACGCTCCTTCACCATCCCTTGCTCGCCGGATTCTATTTTTATCTGCCAATCAGATCGCTCAGATTCCAGCTGCGATTGTAAGGTCGCCATCTCAGTGGCGTGTTCTTCATCCTGCATATATAATTGAGGTAAAATGCCGGATTAAATATTAACAAGCGTACGCCAGCTATCTAGCACACCCCAAACCCTTGCACTCTCAACGGCATATGCACTTTTGGCTTTCCCATAGCTACACATAGCACGCATGCATATCTACGCTTCTGGATCAACGCCATGGGCAGTGGAATATAAAGTGTACAAGGGAGCGTATCACACAAAAAATCGAACTCTTTCCGATAAGCTAGTTCAAACATCGACACAGATCCACCCCAGCACATCCGTTCGGGCAGAAACAAATCCGGACTCCCCAATCAGCTGTGTAATTCTCAGACCACTCAGCAGCACACACCAACCCAGCCACCTTACGCTCTGTCATAGCCATCACACGCACTTACGCAATAAAATAGGAGACACTATACAATGTCATGCAGGGATCACATCGCTTAGCACACACAGAAACACACACCAACGCCACCATCCTCCGTGCCAACTCGGCCTTCTCCTGTGTCAGCTGACGTTCAGTCTCTGCGTACACCCTGGCCGTAGCCTCCCATTCGTCACTCATGTGTTGTGTTCGTGCGCTTTCATCCGCACTTTGCTGCCGTTTCCAATCTTCCCGTTCTTCATTTTCGCGTTGCGTTTTGGCTTCACTCTCACGTTCTAGCTCACCGATTTGCCCACGCGCGTGTTCCAATTCTTCGGCGAGTGCCTCGGCGCTCTGTTGAACGGCCGATAATTGGCTGTATTGGTTTGGATTTCGGAATCGGGGATCAGAATTGGGGCAGTGTTTCACTTTCATTCTGCAACGTATACTGTCCGACGATGACGACTAGATAGTTGGCAACTGATGCAACAAAATGTGCATGAACCCCAATAGGGGCACACATGCAATACACGCTTGTCTACCCTCCCACGCACAACCGTAGGTACCTCTTGAGTCCAGCATTCTCAGAACCAAACAATAGACGCACACACACAATACACGCTTATCTACCCCCCGCCCCCCCACGCACAACCGTAGGTACCTCTTGAGTCCAGCGTTCTCAGAACCAAGCGTCTCCGTCACTTCGCGAAGGTCGGATTGTATCTGCTGCACTTTCTCCTCATGCTCTCGTGCGATCGTATCTCTCTCGCTTTTGATTCGGGTGTTTTCGGCTGTGACTTCGTCCAGTTGATCCTGATTTTTGATTAGAATTATTCGATTATTTGAGAACACAGTGCCAATTGTTTGTACTGAATTAGTATTCTTAATCCAAACAGAGCAATACAGCTTATTTTATCATCAGTGCTGTTTTAATATCGATCCCTAACGAATCGATACTGCATATGGACTGTCGGTATTGACCTAGTATTGACTGTAGGTAGAGCTTGACGATGAACTGGTGAAAGATATCTGTGCCGCCCATTGGACGTGACTACGATTTGAGAAAAACTCAGCACCGGATATAGAATAAGGGCTATCACAAAAGAATCACTATCAGGCAAAACATGTAAGCAATTTTACAATTACTGCGTCTGCGAAGTAATATGTATTGTACATACTATATACATACATACGCAATATATACATACACAATATATACATATATATATATATATACATGTATATGTATATGTATAT